GCTCCGTGTCCGGCCGTCCGACGGGAGGATACACTGGGCTCCCCAGCCTGGGCGGCATCTACTACTACCTGTACGGCGGCGCCTACAGCGGCTTCAGCGGAGCGGAGGGGGAGGGAGCTCAGCAGCTTGACCAGCATTTCTACCTACTGAAGCTGCCCATCGCGAGGGCAGCGATGGCCGTGGGAGGGTGTCTTCTGGTCTTACCTTGTGTTCTTGTCTTGGTTGGTGTCCTACGGCTGGCATGGCATGGCTGCTAATTGAGTGTGCCGTGAACATAGCGATCGCAGTGGGCACAGTGCCCGCGCTGTACTATTTCTTCCATTCTCTGATGGAGGTTTATAATTCATCGGTGTGCAAAGAGAGAGAGCAGCTTTATCAGAGCAAAGGCTATCAAGGGTTCTGGTGCAGCCTGCACGGGGCAGAGATTGCTGCTGGCCTCCTGGGCTGCGTGGCTGCCGTGGCATACCTGCTCAGTGCAGGCCTCGCTGCCAAGGGGTACAAGATGGTTCACGAACGGAAACAGAAGCCAGTACAATTATAAGAGCTTTCAAATGATTCCTCTACTTCAGTAATGGTCATGATCTTTGCCAGTCTCCTTTCTGAGACAAAGCAATATGCTTTCCCTGCTTCTGGGCAGTGCATCCTTAATGCTGCAGCAGAACACGCACCAAGAGAGCACAGCCCTGCACGTGGTAGAGTCAGGCTGTTCCTAACTTGAATTTGCATTACTGAATCATTAGTGACTCACAGCTAGTTCGATGACTTGTCTCCTGTCCCCACACAGCCGACCAGTCTGCCTCACAGGCAGCCTTCCCACTCACTGCTGGGTGTCCCATGCTCCCTCAGTGAGCTCTTGCTGAAAGTACTGCCACCACATGCTTCTGCTGATGAGCAGCTCTGTGTAGCTGAAACTGCCTTCACAGTCATGTGTTAAGGCCTGTGACTGCTGAGAACAGACCTCCTAAGAACAAGTGATTGAGGCCCGTGGTTGTGTCAGCTAAATATTACTTCCTTGTAGGTCTCTTGGAATTAACAGGGCAGTTTGAACACGGCACTTATAAAGCCATCAAAAAATCCTGAGCAAACCCTGCCGAATGATGGGTACACTCACTTGTGACACAATGCCTTTTCAAACTCCTGGAGAAGGCCCATTTTTTAATGAAATGGTCTTTTATATAATTTGTATACAACAGTTTTACTCACAACAGATGCCCTGAGTAGGTATAATCAGACAAAAGCTTTAAGAGATTCAGGGGGTGGTGACGTATATAATTTTCAAAATATATTTTAAATGGACAAGTTGGGGAAATGAGATGCTGCTCTTACATTATTTAAGAATTTTAAAAAAAGGTGAAATTTACTTTTTATCTTTTAGGAAAACTTTGATAGGAAATTCAACTGGGAAAAGTAACACTAGAATCACCAATTTGTGCCTCAATGAAACGTGACTTCAGAGCAATGCCCACACAAGGATGGAACCACATGGTCTCACAGACCAGTTCTGCCCATCTCATAAAACTAAACACACCAGAAACATTCTTTGCCTTGGACATACCTCCACTTCCACTGGCACCAGTGACTAAGTCCTCACCATTACCAACACCACAGAACAGTGTTGTCACTAGAGGTACAAAACCAACACAGATGCCAAACAGGAACACACCAGGTGCCCTGGGGTTTGTTGGGTATTTCCTGCCTACTACCTTTTAGTAGCTAGATGCACTGAGTGTGTCGGTGCAGGGATTTCTGTGGACAGTCCACTGTAGAGAGCTGTACAATGCTATTTGGAGCATGCTCACAGGGCAGGACTCCTCTGGCAGGAAACAGAAAGCTGCCTTAATAATTGGCACTGTGAATTCCACCTTCACGGTGTTCTGCAAGTAGCTTTTGTATGAAAGGCTGACGAGTGTAGCAGCACACAGAGCTCAGTGAAGGAGAACTTGCAGCACAGATCCTGCTAGACACAGCTAGCTTTGACCGGGATATTGCACAAATTCCCTCCAGCACAGTAACAGAATCAGAATAAATTGTTAAATGAAAGTAAAAATCTTTATTGCTAAGTCAGCTGAAAATTTGATGCAAAAATATTCTTCCTTCCTAGACTGCTCTATACATCTGAATAAAGAATCAGTGGACTAGTGTTTTCCAGCAATCTCACGTTATTTGTCTCTCCAAAGCAATACAAACATAGGCCACAGTGCTGAAGGTGCATTCACTGGACAACCTACTCCCATACATGATAAAAACAGATTATTATAGGTGCATGCTAGAGTGAGATACAGAAAATATTCTTTTTTAAAAACAAAAAAAAAAACCAAACATGAAAAACGATCATTTAATAAATGGTGCATTGCAGTATCTTTTTTTACCATGCACTGGGTCATATGAGTCAAGTTTAAAAAAAGGTTAAGTTTTAAAATGTGAAAAAAAGAGGAAAAAATACAGTTGAGTCTTCAGACACCAATAGAACAGCAGACAACGACTGCACAAAAGCAAAGAGGTGACCCTACTGCCTGAAGAAGGCCTTGGCAAGTGACACAGAAGTGATCACCATCCGCAAGGAGTGCAGAAACTCTCCATGTCCAAGGGCCTTAGGTGCAGCTGCAGGTCCTGTGTACTAGGGGAAGGATTTCAGACTTCACAGCAGCCTGTCCCCAAGAGAGAGAAATACTTGCTCCTTCTTGGAACAGGATTTTATCCTCCCATCTCACTGAGGATTGTGGTCTGGCACCAACAGTCTGCAATGTTGCCTCCATCAGGCCTTTTCCCAGTGCTGGGGGCAACTTGGAGGCTCCTCCTTATCCTGAACACCTGGGCCCTGACCACCCACCCCTGAATACAGCCTTTATGGTTCCTTTTGCAGAAGCCTTTCTGGCCAGGACAAGGCAGCCAGGTCAGTGCCTTCAGAACACCTTTCTTGGTGAGCAAGCACATCAGCAGAGCCAGAAATACTGAAGGGATGGACCAAGGAAGTTCTCAGCCTCACGTGGCTGTGGCCACGTGGAGTGTGGCAGAGCTGGGACAAGACAGCCTGATGATCTCAAGCTGAGAACCTCTCTCTAATAGTGAATCTGTGAGTAAGTGGGATGTTGTCAGTGATGTGGCTCTGTGGAGATGATTTATCTGTGCAAGACCCACATACAGAAATCATGGAAGGGACTGGAGAAAAGGAAGAGAACTGGGAAGACACTTTCTATCCCTGCTATGAATCCTTCAGTAGGCTTGGCCATTCATACCTGTTCCACCTACAGCCAGTGCTTCTCAGGAGTTTGAAATCTATGGTGGTGTTAATAAGTAATATGGGGAAGACACAAGAGGGAGGCAGGAAAACAAAAGGTGGTGGAGGGAAGTACTCTGGACAGTCTAACCACTGTCTAACCAATGTCAGAAAAAACCCTTTCTTTGGATGACAGCGACCTCAAAGGATAACTCAACATTTGGAATCTCGTGTTAGAAAATCCAAGATATTTGCATGAAAAAATGATGACAGTGTCTTTGCCGATACTCAAAACAGGCCTAGGAAAAAGTAGCACTTTTTGTGATGAACAGGCACTATTTTTAATGCATGAAAATGATTTTGGATGAGTGAAGAAAAAGCTTCACAATGCTGTGGCTGAAACGGAAAAGAAAAATATTAATCTTCAGAAGAAGTACACAGAAGATATGCAGAAGCTGCTTGAGGACACCAATGCTCATCTCAGCCAAATACGAGGATTATTTGGAACAGGTGAAGTCGAATTCAGGCTGTGCTGCCCAGAGTGAGATAACCAACTCATAATACCAGCTTAAGCAGAGAAATCTGTGGACTCGACACAGAATGTGAGAACAAGCTGTGTTCTTCCATGACAGTTCATATCCATAGAAAATAGGAGCTGGCTGCATTAAGCTCCCTTTCTGCTTCAAAACCAGAAACAGCACTGGAGAAACAGACTAAGTAGGAATTCCTTGTGTTCCATTCTGCCACCAGCATGAAGAGGAGCAGTTCAGAAATCTCCATGCTCCACTGCAGAGCTGTGACCTCCTTAGTCCTTCCCCACTGAGCTAGGTAGAGCCGTTCACAACTAACTCCTTGTGGCAGCTCTCCATGCAATGCTACTGGTTCAGACTGGCAAGAACACAGTGAACTTTCCACATCAGTGCAAGAAACAGAGATCTGATTTGCATTAACATCTGCCACTCTACTAGTGCAAGGTTTGTCACAGTCTTACTCAGAAAGAACGGTGTGTTTCTGCATCAGTCCCATACTGAAAAGAGACTGCTTTGCAGTTCTGTCAAGTACCAGAAAGTGTTGGGCTAGGCACAGATATTTGGTAAAATTATCACCAATGACAGAATCAAAAGTCACAGTCAAATGCATCAGGATGAGCCTTTTCTGCATACTTACATGATAGGAACATGAAAGAGGTTTGGGGTTTCATATCTGAATACTTTCTGCTGTTGTTTCTGTGATTCTAAGAATCAGCTTCAATCTCTAGTTCCAAATGAAAGTGGCATTTAAACAAAAACTGTGAGAGTTTAAACTTTGGGAAAAGTTGGTTTGTTTCACAATTACACTGCAACTAGCACAAGGTATATCCTAAAATGTGGATCCTCATGCAGGGCAAAATACATACTTTTTTTCTTAGTGAGAAGAAATTCAAAGTGCTTTGAAATCTCAGTAAAACTCCACTAGATTTTGTCAAAATATTTGTATTGACAGAATCCCACAAGTAGTCTGCACAGTATTTCCTTCTGAGCAAGGCCAAAACCAGACAGCTCAAGCCCCTCAGATGTCTTCAGAAGAAACTTTTAAGTTTTCTTCATAAATATAATTAGTAAAGAAGAAAAGGCACTAGCCCACATTACAGTCAGGATTATTGCACCTCTGACATGACCAGGGCAGCTGCTGTCCAGCTGTCAGCAAGGAAGACAGACCTGCATGCTACAGGGACAGTGGTCTCCAACAACCCTTACACAAGATGATGACACAGGCAGCCAACTTACACCCTGCACTAGAAATCCGAATGGAAACACAATGTGGCTGTGGAGTGCAGACTGGCCAGTTCACCATTAGTGGGGCTGTTTTAAATGTCTTTTCCAGTTTTTACTACGGTAAAAAGTTCTATTTTTGCTTTTGTGCTGAAAGCTAAGCAGGAACAACTATGCTTCCACCTTGTTTGTGGCCAAATTGGGCATGTACCATGAAATGCAGGTTGCTGTAGATTTGGAATATGACTCCTGTTTTCAGAGGCAAGCAAGGACCCTGTGGCTGATAGGGCAGAGGCTTATGCTGGTGGAACAGAGCACTGGACACTTCCCCCCAGCACCCAGAGGGCAGCCCCACTGCTCGCCAGCCTTAGAGCAGCACACGGTGATTACAGCTTGGCTCTTCTGACCGAGCACTGAGACAACCATGAGCTCCTGGGTTCATCCCATGTCTTCTAGATACAGGAAGCCTCTACTGTGAAGCATCCATGATGGAGGTGGCCAAGCTGCTGCTGAGCTGGGTCTGTGCTCAGCAGCTAGAAGCACTAGCTCTACACATTACCTTCATCAACCAGT